AGTTTCTCGGAAAGAATTTTTACGAAAAGTTAACAAACGAACACAGACGTAACAATATCTTAAAGGCCTTCCAAATTTAAAGTATCAGTCCACGAACTATTAATCAGAAGAAACCCCCTTGTTAATACAGTTATTAAAAGCCCACTCTAGATGAACGTAATAGTTACGAGCGGGACGAATGGGGACACTAATATCCCTGAACACCCCAGCTGAAGAAAGTTTCTCTCTTTTTAAAACTAAACACCCGCTACGATTAAACCAAACACTAGTGACTAGCGTGTTAGGCTGCGAATCGGAGGATCCAGATGTATTGATGTTGTTATGAAGTTATTCAGTTAAAAGACTCAAAGCCACCATGGCGGGCAATGCTGTTTGCTAGTTTTCTTTCCTGTGGTTAGTAGTTCAAAATCAAGGATGACTTAACCTTAAATTTTGGAGTGCGTGGACCTGTCCATTTAGCCCACGAGCGCATAAGGTGCTGTTGAATTTGAAAATTCCTGTTCCAGGCCGTATTTGAAAAGTGTTAATATAAATCTGACGTATAGGTGGTTGTCGATGTCACGTTGAAGTGACGTCAGCGTTTAACTATTATTATATATACATGGTTATATATGATTTACTCAATTCCAGTGAAATGCTAAAGAAACGGTGTTGGCGTTTAATGAGGAAATGTAGCAGAACGCGCTGTATCACGTTTATCCCAAACCAAAATTACCATCAAAACAACTGTACTGAACATATTTATATTTAATACATCTTGTACGTATTAACAAATAATTCGTGGTAACTATTTGAAATATAAGAATTGTGTATACTTATGTTTTGTTGACAACAGTATGCTGCACTTATATCAGAGGATGAAGGATATTTTTTTGTTGGATGACACTGATTTTAAAATTTCATTTTGTATTTGTTTGTTTTTGAATTTCGCGCAAAGCTACACGAGGGCTATCTGCGCTAGCCGTCCCTAATTTAGCAGTGTAAGACTAGAGGGAAGGCAGCTAGTCATCACCACCCACCGCCAACTCTTGGGCTACTCTTTTACCAACGAATAGTGGGATTGACCGTAACATTATAACGCCCCCACGGCTGAAAGGGCCAGCATGTTCGGTGGGACGGGGAAATTTTGTATTCAACCAACTTCGTGTAAAATATTGAACAACGTTCTTAAAATTTTATGAATACATATATCCATAGTTATTTTAAATATGCGAGTATGATATTACTTAAAAACTCAAAATATTTATTTCGGTGTTTTAATTTTAAAATTAGGAGAATGATAATTACAAAATGGTAATTAAAATATTTTCAGATATTTGACGATTTTAATTTTAGATAATTTTTAATTCCTAATAACTGGATAATTAATTCCAAAAATTTCTAAACTTTTAAGGTCGAATGTTTTTTGTCTTAATTAGGTTTAAGAAGCGAAGCCTATGAACATGTATATGGAACAATATATTTTATTGCAGAGATACTAAACAGTTACAATAAAGTAAATAAAATTTACGTTAACAATTCTGAACTTTTTTTTTCTTAAGCAGTACTGATTAAACAAATAATTAGGCTGATCTTATGATTGTTTTTTACTGCTTATATGTTGATGGTGGAAACTTGTTAATCATTGTGTTCGAGAGTAATTTGTCAGGAACGTTTGGCACATCGTAAATATTATGAAAATATATGTTTTATTACGTTCAAATGGGTTCCTTGTGTAGGATTCGAGTAATGGTGCTGACAGATAACTGGAGAGAACGTGTTTATTTTTAAACAAAATATATTTTATATTAGAGCCTCAATACCCGTTGTTTAAAGTGTAGGACGTCCTATGTTATAGAACCTAAATCTCGAGACAGTGTTGTTTTGGAATTCATCTCATAGTTTTAAAGTGTCAGCGAAGAAAGCACTTGAGTAAAGGTTATTTTAAAAATAAAAATGATAAAATATTTCCAGTAGTAAATGATATTGGGGGGGTAATTATAAGTAATTATTAACATTCTGGTTTTTATCATTTTCTTCCACAACGTGTCTAGTATTTTTCTTTGTTCCCACCTCCTGCCAGTGGTTTAGCGCTAAATCTTAAAATGCTAAAATCCAAGTGTTGATACCCGTGGTGGGCACAGAACAGATAGCCCATTGTGTAATTTTGTGTCTAACAATAAACAAAGTAATTTTCTCAACGTTTCGGACGGACAGTGATAGATTTTCATTGTCAGTTTTATATTAGGACTAAAAAATAAATCGTTGTCACTGGTCGTTCCTCATGTTGGACAGTGAGCTCTCCTGTCGTGTATACGTAAGTTTGTGACGTCATGGTTTGTACTCGGACTAGATGCGTGTAAGACAAGCAGAACATAAATTTTTCGAATAAACAAAGAAGCATATTGTACCATGTTTTAAGTGTTTATGATAGCTAATAATTTACATGTCATAACGTCCGTAATGATGTCTATTGTTCAGATTCTTTTCAATCTCAGCACTGATTACTTGTTTGTTTTCTGTCTAGACAGCACGAAATAATTAGCGTCAGGGTTGGGAGGGAGGAGACGAACTTTATCCCTTGAAGACGTGGCTTCGAACACGTTTCTCGAATCTCCTCGTTGTCATCACGCGAAAGATGGTGTAACCTTAGCAACGAGAGTAATACCATTCTCTCTGGAGGGGGCGATATGTCAATTTGGGTCTTACTAACACTCATGAAAAGCTTATCCCAGAACAAAGTTCATTGACCTGAAAAGATAAGAAAGTACACCAAAACCTATGCAGTGTATTTTAACGATAAAAATTCGTTTCTTTTTTTTTCTTTTATCTTGGCAAATAGTCGAGGGAATAACAGTTGATGAAGGAGCGGTTGATAACACTAACAAACACTTTTATGTGAAACAGAAGTAAGATAAACTCAAATTATTTAGGTCACGTTTTCTATTCGCTTTTTTTTTTTACTACGTATAGGTATTTCAACAGAAAATATATAATTTCAAGTAATAGAATATATAGTTATACACTTGTAAATATTATATTACTAAAAACAATTGCTTTAATTAACTGGCTCGCGTTACTTAATTTACATAATGTTGAAGACCAAGATATAAATGGTTTTAGGAATGTTAGGGCACATAAGAGGGCAAATTCGGCCTTATGATATTAGGTGACAGAAGTGCTAATAATGTATGCACCTTAGATTTTTAAGAAGCTTTTGACCATGAAAAGTAGTGGAAATTCTGTAGTAGATTAGGACAGATGAAGCATATATCAGAGTCCTGAAGAGTTTATGTTGGAGTCAGAAAGCGGGAGTTTGAATTGACTGAGGGATACAACAGGGACAGTTTGAATTGACTGAGGGATACAACAGGGACTTATGCTGTCATGACGGTATACAATTTGTATTTAAAAAAGTTATTACATATATAAAATGGATCAAGGTTAAAGGAAATAAAATCTGTAATGATAAATACACTGATGGTAAAATACTTACGGTGAATCTAAGGAACAGATATTGTTACTTGATTGGCATGTTGAGACAGGGAAAACTATAGAGTGAATAAATGTTAAGACAAAAACTGGTAATTTTACGACTTCGTGGAAGCTCTCAGAATGTGCATCAAGAAGAAGGCAAAGAGTTGGACAAATAGATAAAGTTATTTATTTACCATACCACATACTACTTCACATACCAGAAGTTGTGAAGTAGTTTTCAGAACCAGTTGTGGGGGACTGTGGAACAGAGACCCTTCCTTTCTTTCTAGTAACAAACCAGAAATTGTGAAGTAGTTTTCAGAACCAGTTGTGGGGGACTGTGGAACAGAGACCCTTCCTTTCTTTCTAGTAACATACCAGAAATTGTGAAGTAGTTTTCAGAACCAGTTGTGGGGGACTGTGGAACAGAGACCCTTCCTTTCTTTCTAGTAACATACCAGAAGTTGTGAAGCAGTTTCAGAACCAGTTGTGGGGACTGTGGAACAGAGACCCTTCCTTTCTTTCTAGTAACATACCAGAGTTGTGAAGCAGTTTCAGAACCAGTTGTGGGGACTGTGGAACAGAGACCCTTCCTTTCTTTCTAGTAACATACCAGAGTTGTGAAGCAGTTTCAGAACCAGTTGTGGGGACTGTGGAACAGAGACCTTTCCTTTCTTTCTAGTAACATACCAGAAATTGTGAAACAGTTTCAGAACCAGTTGTGGGGGACTGTGGAACAGAGACCCTTCCTTTCTTTCTAGTAACATACCAGAAATTGTGAAACAGTTTCAGAACCAGTTGTGGGGACTGTGGAACAGAGACCCTTCCTTTCTTTCTGGTAACATACCAGAAATTGTGAAGTAGTTTTCAGAACCAGTTGTGGGGGACTGTGGAACAGATACCCTTCTGTTCTTTCTAGTAACATACCAGAAGTTGTGAAGTAATTTTCAGAACCAGTTGTGGGGGACTGTGCAACAGAGACCCTTCCTTTCTTTCTAGTAACATACCAGAAATTGTGAAGTAGTTTTCAGAACCAGTTGTGGGGGACTGTGGAACAGAGACCCTAGGATTCTTTCTAGTAACATACCAGAAATTGTGAAACAGTTTCAGAACCAGTTGTGGGGACTGTGGAACAGAGACCCTTCCTTTCTTTCTGGTAACATACCAGAAATTGTGAAGCAGTTTCAGAACCAATCCACCAAATACCATTTCAGCTTTTCTAACAAGAAAACCCATTTCATCCAGACCCTACCACTGCACATAGTCAGTTGTTCCTAGGATTTTCCTGGAGTCGGCATTAGATTGGTAACTTAAATGTAGAATATGCACTAATTAGTAATAAAGAACATTAGGAACTAATTGATAATTAGGATTAGGCCACTAATCATGAAAACAAATTTCTTTTTTTTTTTGTTTCAGTAAAACTGTTAGTGGTAACAGTTGCAACCAGTGAAACAGAAGGCTTCCAGAGGTTTATGTCTTCGGCAAAATTATATGGTTACCAAGTTGAGGTAAGGATCTTTCGCATTTCTACTGAATGATAGGGTTAATGGATAAAGCACTTTACCAATCCTTTAATTTACCCATGAAAATGGTTATTTTCTTTGTTGATAAATACAGTGAGCATGGTGGTCACCTGGAAATTAATTGGAACTCACTATAGCTTGATAAATGGTTACAACTGTGAAAACTATTGGTAAACAGCAACCTTTGGTCCTCTAGGAGTCAACCTGAGGCTCCTTAGGAGTCAATGAGGCTCATAAGAGTTAAACCATGGTTATTTAATAGCTACCCTGCAAGTCAGCCCATGGCTCTTTAGGAATCAACCTGAGGCCCCTTAGGAGCCAATGAGGCTCATAGGAGTTAAACCATGGTTATTTAATAGCTACCCTGCAAGTCAGCCCAAGGCTCTTTAGAAGTCAACTTTAGGTCACCTAGGAATTATCCCATGGCTCTTTAGGAGTGAGCCTCAGGTCAACTGGGAGACAGCCCATGGTTCTTTAGGAGTCAACCCATAGCTCTCTAGGAGTCAACTTTAGGTCAACTAGGAGTCAGCCCATGGTTCTTTAGGAGTCAGCCCATGGCATCCCAAAATATGTTTTATTTATAGCTCATTTTTATCCAGGTGTATAATTTTTGTTTATGACTGGTGTTACAGCCTTGAAGGTGTCTCAAACATTCAACTGTTTTGAGGAGTTTGGATTCAGTACCTCAGATATATACATCACGTTAGTTAATGTGTTATCGTAAAGATAGTTGATAGTTATAAAGTTACCTTATTTTTGTTTTGTTTATATTGTGGTCACTTTGAGAATATGTAAGAATATGATTGTTGTTTGAGAAAATATTGCAAGTTTATGTGGATGTGATAGGATGTTCACATTCATTAAGTGTTGCATCTGAATTTATATTTAATTGCTTGAAATTTACTTGTGACATCAAGAGAATATGAAATGAAGAATGTCACATTTTTTGAGAAATTTTTGAAGCATGAGTGTATTTATTATTATTGTTTGTCTAGGTTCTAGGACTAAACGAACCCTGGGAAGGAGGAGATGTCCTGAGATACCCTGGAGGTGGTCAGAAGGTGAACCTTTTACGAAATGAAATGGAAAAACATAAAGACAAGGATGATTTAGTTATTCTTTTCACAGATAGGTAATTATCTTGGAACCCCCCTACTTCCCCATAACTATAAATTTTCGTTATTACCACTGGACTAAGAGTTCTAATAAGTCTTTGTTATTTTAATTGGCGTTGGACAGATTTACATGATGTGTGGAGAGTCGTTATTTTTCCACTTGGACTTTAAAACTAATAAGAGCCTGTGCTTTATTTTCTCTTTCTTTTTAGACAGTTTCTGGACTATTCAAAACATAGAAAGTGTCTAATAATGGTTGGAGACGGCTTGAATGGGTAATGAAGAAAAACTTTCATATAAGTTTAACATAACAGCAAATGTACAACGTTTCGACAAGGTTTTATCATCATCATAATCAAGCCGTCTCCAACCATTATTAATCTCAAATTGGGTTCCTCGTCATCGAATCTGAAAATAGAAAGTGTCTTTACTGGTTAAGAACTCCAGAGGAGTCATTAAGAAGGGAACACTGTACATCTTCTAGATTTATAGGTAGACATAATGTAAAAAAGAAAAGGATTTGGATTTAGGGATTAATTTTTCATAATAACTTTAGTGTGTGTGTGGTATTTTAAAGCAAAAACTGCTTTCCTGACAAGTGTTGGATAGCTAGACCCGTTAACTCTTGAAACCCACAATTGTTTGCTCGTTCTGCCAGAATTATTTTCATGATGTCTTAATAATTATCAACATAACTTGTAAAACTTTTGTTCTTTTTTTACAAGGTGGATAATAACATGTTTTAGATCAGTTTTCAGCCAAAGAGACGTTAATATTATTGCATGCTGTCACCATCTGATGGGTAAATCGGGATGCTGGTAGCATCCGTTCGAATTTAACAAGTTAATAACAGCATATTTGCCAAGGAGGTATGGAGAGTAATTCTGAATCCACACTTTACTCAATTACAAAATAAAATACAAATTTGTCATTGTTTTGTTTCCCTCATTAATTTAATCATATTTTATATTCGGAGGGGTTTGTAACACTTTGCTTGCATGAAACATAACTCCAGATCATTACTAGCTTAATCAGGAATTAGACAGAATTTACAGACTAAAAGTGTTAATGCATGCTCACTTAAAGCTATGACCTAACACTATACTTTCTTTGAAAGTCACACAATTAATTGTGATACACCTTGGTCCATATCTTGGTTACAACTTAAAAGAAAACTGAACATCTCATAAAATAATGACTTCCAAACAGAGTAGGGTATGCATATAGAGTGATAACTGGCAATCAGTAGAGCTAATTAAATATACCTTTCTTATCTATCTTTTTATAAAGATTAGAATGCATTGTTTTCGTCAGTTAATGATAATTTTGACAGTAAACTGAGTAATATTTCACAAGGTGTAGTCAGTTTAGGAGATTTAGAGTATATAGTCCTAAACACGTATAGTAAGCTAACGAAGCAAAACGGTCTTTATAATGAAAGTATAATACTAGAAATAAAATACAATTTAACCACATATATTAAACATTTCAACCAAGACTGTTAATGAAAGAAACTACAAAGAAGGAACAGAGAATACCTTACCTATGATACATAAAAACACTCCATAGCACCAAATGTCTACCTCAACAGACATCCACACTTGTTTAGAGATAACCTGTCACCAACATCTCCTGCTCGCTATTGCCCCATTTCATGAAAGATTTTACATTTATGCCTCTGCAGAGAGAGAGAAACATATTATTTTTTCTTTCTTTCTACTTCCAAACGCTTTTCAGTCGACTGCCATTTCTTAATTTTTTGATGGATTGACTTTAAACTTGGTACGATTATACCTTTGTCCAATACACCATTTTGATTTTTTTATTTAGTCCTTTTTAAGGACTTTATGGGGTCAAAGGTCAAGCAACCCCAAAAAATGTATATTTCGGGCTCCTTTGCTGTCATATTTACAGCAATCTAAAAGAAAATTGGCACAAGTTCCACACATTAACAAACAAAAATAATAGACTTGCCCATATATTTTTTTGTTTAAAAAGAAATGTCAGCTATTAAATTTTGTGTAAATATTCTCCATGATGTTTACAGACATTCCTGTAAACATAACTCCAGATCATTACCAGCTTAATCAGGAATTAGACAGAATTTACAGACTAAAATTGTTAATGCATGCTCACTTAAAGCTATGAACTAACATTATACTTTCTTTGACAGTATTTTTTTAGCTGACATGTGTGGCTTGTATGTATTAAATTTTGTGTAAATATTCTCCATGATGTTTACAGACATTCCTAGACTTGTGACTCAGTCATTAAACAAATATTGTAAAAAAAAGGAAACACTGTATAATATTGTAAAGTCCTGAATATTTAAAATACCATTTTGATGAACAATCTGAACCATCCCTACATAGGCAGTGCTGCCACCTGCCTGATACATACTTAATATTTTTTTTTGTTTTTGCTAGCTATGATGTCATCTTCACAGATGGACCACAAGAAATTTTGAAAAAGTTTTATAAGTCAAAAGCTAAAGTTTTATTTTCTGCTGAGGGTTTCTGTTGGCCTGACGAGTCTTTAGCCGTAAGTTACTACATTTTGTATTTCTTCTAAATTCAAAGTCTAACTTAATTTCAGTAATAAGTTTTATATATGTTCTTTTTTTCTTTCAGAATTCAAAACTATAAGTTTTAGCAAAATTTTTTCTGTATTCTTATTTATTGTGAATTGAAAACCTGTAATTCCCATGTGTCAGAGGAATTGAGAAAAGCAATAGGACAGGCAGTGACAATATGGCTTATGGTATACAGATGGGATAACCACGGGCCTCTGAAGAAAAAACTATCAAAAACACTTGATGAATGGACACTATTGTGTCTGTTTTGGTTTGTATGTTAGGATTATTCAAGGGAAATCACAATCCAGGAAACCCCCAGGTGTTGTAAGCTGTATTTTTAATACTGTAATTTAGTTGTTTGCTAGAGGGAGCTGCTAATCATGATGATTATGTTGGATCTAGAAAGTTCATAAAAAGTAGTCCTAGAATACTTAGAAAATTGATAATGATGTATTAATCTAGATATTTTGTAGAAATGAGAGTGTGTTATAAATCAGTGTGTGAAACTTCATTGAAAATAAATGAATGTTTCAGTTCAGCTTTAAAAAAGGACTGTTATTGCCGTTATTGATTTATTAGCAAGGAAATTCTGTTTGAATTTGCCAGTTAGACTTAGGTAACATTAATATCACAGTTTTTGTTTAAAGTGAAAATGTTGTTTGTGAACTTAGGCCTACAACTTGTGTAAAAGTAAATGTCATCTGTAGCAAATTATAGAAGAAACTAATTATTTCATTGTCACCACGTGGACCAGAAGATGCATTATATTCACTAAATAATTTGATAGAACCTATTCGATGATAGAACACAGTGTACCATTATTTTATTGTAATCTTCCAATGTAAACAGAGCTTTTATACAAGAATTTTGAAAATTTTTAATTATTTTTTAGTATGGTTGTGCAAAAGTAGACATTGTTTGAAATGGTATTGTCATATTAATAATAATACTGGAATTTTGTACTTCACTAGTAGACATTCATCTTCTATACAAAAAAAAACATTTTCTACAACAGGTTTTCTTATTGAAAATGAAACAAGATCATATTTTAAATTCATCAATTTTTTTTGAGAATTTTAAGTAAACCCATGGCACTTTAAGCTTTTACTCCCTATCATACTTTTCTCGTCTCCATTAAAAATGTTTTTATAAAAAACTTGTATGTAATTTTTTTGTATTGATAAATGCTTAGTGAGACATTCACAGCTTACTTGTGTTCACAGAAGCTGTATCCTAAGCCGGAGAAAGGAAAAAGATACCTGAATTCTGGAGGTAATAACAAATAATTGAGTGAGTCTAGTGCTTAAACAGTAGTATTACCAGACAGCTTAAGTTCTTGTTTTTAGTGAAATAGCTTTTAAAGAGCTCTAGTTAATTTAGAGAAACATTAGATATTGAAATTTGAGCCTGTTAAAATTTCAACCTTCATGCATTAACATTTAGTTAAGTATTGTATCCAGATTTCTTTAAATTTTGATATTTTCATCATGTTCCAACTCTGTAAAATGGATTTCAACAAAAGCATCCAAATAGTTTGTATGTGCCGAAACATAATATTAAGTGCACAGACACTGCTTTACACTGTGTATTTGGGTTAAATCTCATCGTTGTGTTATTTATTCAAATACTGTGTATGTTGTTAAACTTTTTCTGTTAATTGTCTGTTTAAATAATTAAATTGAATGAAATGGGTGATAACTGTCTTCTTCAGGTCGACAGTTGTACAGATAATCATGGAGGACTAACGATCCACAAATTTACCATAATCAGATTGTAGAACATTTCGAATGCCTTCTGCTTTCATGTTTGTTTGATTCATCATAATTTCACTGTATAAAAAATTTATAAATGACTACCTAACTGCTTTGTATGTGAGTAAATTCAGTTGCCCATCCTAAAGCTGTGTATGTATGGGTAAAATATGCCAGTTGTTCTGTGTTTTGATGTCTTTTTTTTTTTCAAAAAGTTATTGATATGTTTGTTTCGGCTAAAACTTGAAACATTTTGGTTTTCTTGAGTCAGTTATAAAAATGCTGTTTCCTAACGGAGGCTTACTAATATTTTTTTTATGTTTCTTTGCTTGTGGGCATCTCTCTGTTACCTTGACAACGAAACAGTATGTCTTGACTTTTCTTACACAGGTATGGATTTAACAGCTTTCGTGTTTTAAAATCTTGTGAAAGATTTTAAAATACGACTTGTTGCTCAGTTCTTTTAAATTTTGCATCACTTTTGGCTTGACTAACATTTGAAACAAATTGATAAAACTAAGTCAATATAAATAATGTTGTTGTTTGTTAATGGTCTATCCCGGTGGTTCCCAACCCTTTTGTGCCACGTACCCCCAGTAAGACCTTTGAACCAGTGAAGTATCCCTGATGCATATAATTTATCTTAAAAAAACAACTTAAAGTGTGGTTTATAATAATAGAAAAGTAAATAATTCAAGGTTGAGTCAATGATCATTGAATGTTGAGTGTGGAATACGTTGACAACTCACCGAGACTGCCCTGCAATTTTAATACTTTTCGAATGTTTTTGCATGTCACCCCAGGAAGATTTCCACATCCACACGTTGTTGGGAACCATTGGTCTATCCTGCAGTAATTAATAAGTATAGCTTTCTGGTGCATGAAACCTCACCATAGCCTTGGATGTGCTTTTTTTCTTCTTCTTTATTCTGTACATAATCATCTTATTGAATCATAAAGATATATATATTATTATTTATGTTTAAGTAACGTAGTTTGTATTTCTGTGTTTAAAATGTGTTTACCAAGAAAGCACTACCAAATTATTATTAATAAGATTTTGTGGTTGAAAGTAAAGAAGAATGTATAATATTGTTACGTCTCTATCTCTGGTCGTTAGTTAATTTTCCGTATAATTTCTTTTCGATGAAACTTTAGCGACACAAGTCCTTTCTGAAATAAAACTAGTTTATTCTTTCTCAATACAAATTTGAAATTCACTTAATTTCCACGGTCACTCTATAATTTAAACAAAAGCTATAACTCACGACAAACGACACACGCGCTCGACCCAACTGTCCGTCTCTATCTCTGTCTGCAATTCAACTGCATTCCATTGTTGCCGTCACTTCTTGGCGGTCTTATATATATGAATACCGCATATCTAGTAAACACTCGAGCATTCACGAAGGGACATGATTTCTATAAAAGTTCATGACGTGTTACTAGTGTCACGTGACTTACGCTGTCGTAACAATATATTCAGTGTCAGTTAGGCCTTTTGCCCAATACCAGAGTTCTTCAGGCTGTCTGCGATAACAAGAGACGTACTAGTTGTTGAGACGTTTTATATATAACATCTGTGATGGTGTGAACTTGGTGAAGTGTAGTTATTTCATCAGTTTTATTTATGTCACAAAATATCAGAATTTGGGTTGTGTGCTAACTTCTTAATCAGAATTTCACTCTGTATTTAATTTTCTTAAAAATCCCTTGGGTCACATACAAAAGTCGTAACAGTTTACAAAGGAGACCCAAAACTTGAGTGCTTTTGAATAGTTCACTGTTCTTCTTTCTCTATTCAAGAAATGTTAACTATTCGAAAGTGCTCGGGTTGTGGGTCTCGTTTGAAAACAAATACAGAGTGAAAGACGTTCACCTTGTAAAACCAAAATGTCATCCACTGATGGAAGAAAATCATAAGAATACTATGGACAGAATTATACAGAATAAAACAGAAATAAAGAAAACATCAAACGTAACCAAAACAATATAATGATATAATAGAAATGGGTAAAACTTAGTTTGTAACATTTCTCTACCAATGGGTGCATCAGTGTTACAGAAAGAGTTGTTGGAAATTTATTGAACTAATCTGTACAGAGCAAAACAGTGTACAATACTAATAGCTAAAGTAACATTAGACCTGCCTGGGGGAGAGTACTTGCAATGTTTAGGAATACCTCATTCATTTATGAAGGTATCTCAATAAAAAGGGACAGTCTGACAGAAAAGTCAGTGTTACAGAAAGAGTTGTAGGAAATTTATTGAAATAATCTGTACAGAGCAAAACAGTGTACAATACTAATAGCTAAAGTAACATTAGACCAGCCTGGGGGAGGGTACTAGCAATGTTTTGGAATACCTCATTCATTTATGAAGGTATCTCAGTAAAAAGGGACAGTCTGACAGAAAAGAGGCTAAATTTTATTATATTACATCATTTTATGAAATCAAACATTATAACCAAGTGACAAAATTTCAATTTCAGTTTAATTTTTTTCTATGAAGCAGTAGTTGACTTTGATGTCTTACTTCAAAATGGTTTTATGGCCCTTAAGAAATTGTAATATCAATCTGATGTTGTTTATTGTTTAAAATTTTCATTAACACCATATTTTTTTTCAGTTATTACTTTTCCTTATGCCGTATATATATATATAAGAGTAGCTATGAGTCAATATATTTAACATACTAGATGTTTTCTGTTTCAAAAGTAAATAAAACCAAAATTAAGAGTAACAAATATTTTTATTTCTTGCTTTTCAAGTACATGTGTCATGTTGTATTGTAACCTACAGAATACACAATTATTTCATGATTCATGGCATGCTCATGTTTTACTGACATCATGACAGTACAAAATTCAAAGTTGAGCATCCCTTATGTGATGTCATTTTAATGTTTACTAACAGATAACACACTACTGTACTGTGGTGCGAGTGGTTAAAACGTGACTGCTCCAGGCAGTCTACAGCCCCATTTTGGGGAAATTGTTCATGTACTAAGATAATTGCTGATATTACAATAATTTAAATTGGAATAGGAATTGAAATTTTACCTCATTTTTATTACTGGTTTCAAAACCAGTTGGTCTTCAAGAAAGCTTTGCCTTTCCTCTTTAAAATAAACCATTTTTATTGAGATATCTTCATAAATAAATGAGATGCTACAAAACATTGCAAGCTCTTCCTCTGGTTGGTGTATGGGCCATTTTAACACAATATGATAGTAATATTAAATTAAAACTTTACTTATAACCGAACGACGACTGTTATGCAGTACCTTTCCTGCTCAGAATCAATATATTATTTTTATCTCTCCTTTGAGTCATTAATTTATTGGTGAGGGTTTTGTTTTACACCCTCATTGCAACCATAATAATGTTTACGATTTCCTTTACCATATTTTTTGAGATCAATAATTTCTACTTTTTATGACTTTAATTAAAGTGTATTGGAATGTTAATTTTTGATGTACTTATTACAAACAGTAAAACTTACATTTTTTATATCCAGAGTAAAGTTAAGTAATATCACCAGAACTTATTGTGCATAATTATCTTTGTTTTTGTTCTGTTTTTCAGTTCAGTAAGACAGAAGCACTGTTTAACATGATGAACTTTGTTATCTTTGTTCTTTTGTTTTTGTTCTGTTTTTGAGTTCAATAAGACAGAAGCACTGTTTAACATGCTGTACTTTATTATCTTTGTTTTGTTTTTGTTCTGTTTTCAGTTCAATAAGACAGAAGCAATGTTTAACATGATGTACTTTATTATCTTTGTTCTTTTGTTTTTGTTCTGTTTTTGAGTTCAGTAAGACAGAAGCAATGTTTAACATGATGTACTTTATTATCTTTGTTTTTGA